TTTTTTTTTTTGTTAATGAATCTGGTCAAGGTGAGTCCTGGTAGTATGCAGCTTTGCTTTTATCCTTTCAGTAGTGTATAGCAGCTGAGGATCAGCATGATTTTGAAAGAAAAGTATTTTCAGGAAAAGCTTTCTTCAACACTGTCTTGATTTGGAGTGCTGAATAAGCCATTGTAATGTTATGTCTGCAAGAATAAAAAAAAAAAAACAACACAATTTTTGAAAAATATTAAGGCATAAGAGAATGCTAGTAGATCACTGTAATAAAAAACCCAACATATTATAGTTTCTAGTCATTTAGAAATGAAATTTACTTCAGAGCTGGATTTTTATTTTGTTCTATTTTAATTACATGGATTTAGTGCTCATGAAAAGTGATAACTGACAACCTGGAAAATGAAGTCCTTTAAGACACAGAGCAGATACAGTCGGAAAAAGCAAAGATTTAAAATGAACATAAAAAGAGAACTGTAAAGTCCAGACAGGAATTAAATAAGTATGACTAGAAATAACAACTGAGGCAGGAATCCATGATCAGTGTTGAAGAGCTGATCATTAAACAAGAAAACAGACTGAAAGCTAGATTTGGAGCAATTAAGAAAGCTAATATTGTTACTATTCATTACTACTGAGCAGTATTATCACCACACAGTTCGGGTCTGGCAATGCTACTGTGCAGTAGCAAAAGCATAAGCAAGTACCAACTGCAGGGTCTACCACTCATGTAGATGCGACTACGATGTAGCAATACCTGAGCTAGCTCCAAGCAAGAGAGCTGGGGTACTAGCAGCAATCCAGGTAAAGCGCCCTGGGGCTCTGCTGCTGCAGCTTGATGGTTTACAGCACTCAAGCTAGCACGCTTTGAGTTAGCTTGGGTATCCCTACACTGCCCTGAACTGTACAAAACCAGCATATAGGCAACAAGTCAACAGGTGAGAAAGGTTATGGTTAGCGGAGAATGACAGAAAAAGACAACAGGATATAGCATCTAGGAAGAGAGCTGGTGGAGACTGACTGACTGACAAGTGTATATGTAAAACAAGGGCAGGAGCCTAGGGATTTAAATTCAGTAAGGATATGTTGATGAGATGACTTCATTCTTTAAAGGTCATTAAATAATATGGATAAAAGACACAAAGTGATTGTTGTGATTTGGACTGCAGTTAATCAAGGCAGAATCAAATACTCAGATTCTAAATAGAAATGCTACTAGCCAGCACCACAGAGGAAGTCAGTTATGCCTTGTGTTCACTTTCAAAATGGAACAAGCCACCTCTCAATTCAGTGCACACTGAGGCCTAAATCCTATTTTACCTCTAAAGGCACTTAAGCCACGTTTAGGTTCCTAAGGCCCCCTCTACACACCCAAGTAAAAGCACAATGAGACCTAATGTACAATATACATGACTGCACCTCCTGCCACGACACGTGCATGGCAGGAGGGGTGTGTGGGATCACACATTAGATCCCATTGCGCCTTATTGCTAGTGCAGGGGGAGCTTGATCCTGGGATGCCCCTGAACCAGCAAGAAGCAAGCTCTCTCAGTTGGGTGTAGCCTCAGCTTAGGGGATCCCAGTTACAGGCCCCTGCTCCTCCTGTGGCTGGGAGATTGCTGCTGGAGTGATTCCCCACACCAGGGTGCAAGAAACCCCTGGGGCAAGGAGACTGCTGTAGTAGTGATCTCCCTACCCCAGGGGTTTCACACACCTCTAAGGCTGGGAGATTGTAGCAGCTGCATCTCCCAGTCACAGGGGTGTCTGGGGTCCCTCCATGGCTTGAAGCTCCTCTGCAGTTTTTACAGTCTATGGAGTACTGTTGGGACCCAGAGAGTCTGCAGCTAGTGGAGCTGACAGTCTCTGGCAGTTGCCAGACTGCCAGCCACAGCTAAGCATGGTGCACCCCTGTGGCTGGGAGCGCACAGCAGACGGGGGTCCCATCTGCAGGATACACCCTGCTACACATGAAAATTAAAGCTTGATATCAACCAGCTATAACATTAATACACATTTTCAAAGTCTAACTTTATAGCTAGTTGGAGCTTTTTATGGTGTCGTAGCTACTTCGCACTTGTAGCTGGTCTCAAGGTAACTGCACAATTAACCAGTTAACTGCAGAATGCCTTTAACATGTAGAGGGGGCCTAAATGCAATTTGATTCTGTCCTCCTCAAGCCACTGTCACCTTCTGTTGGTACCTAAAGGAGTTGGATGCTCAATCCTCATTAAAATTTTTGAAAATCTCAACATGTCACATACAGAAGGCACTGTAAAAATTGTATGCTTACCTATGTTATCCTTCTCTTTACAGGAAATAGAATAGCAGCAGATCTCTCGGTCTTGAATAGCTGAAAGGTTTCTATAGAAAGAAAATTCCATTAAGTAGTTTTATTACTCCACAAAACCTGACCGAAGCATTTCCCACACAATCCATTTAATTACATGATTGCTATTTTGTATTCAGAGGGCCAAATTCTAGCCTCTGATAAGCAGCTTCAGAAATTTACTATTGCTCCCTGTAAGTGAATTTTTTAAAGTCCTAGAGATTTAAAAGGTTGTAAAGTCATTACATCAAAACTCAGATTTCTGATTAAGCCAGTGTAATAGGGCAAATTAGAAAAATCAGGCATCCAATTGATATTGTTATTAGCAACTGGGAGATGAGACCCTCTCTTCAAAATGTCTCTTTTCACTTTCTTGTATCAGAAAAAAAATGCTTTTATGAATTGTAACATTTTAAAACTAAATTTAAAGGAGCACAATATTAATCCCAGGGAGGTTCCCCACATCATGCTAAATTTACTCTACTGAGAATTAAGGTGACTGAAATAAAATTCTGATATATCTGTTAATACAACTGTGTGTGGTGGGGGAGACTATACATTTCATTTGGCCCCCACTACCACCATTTCTGATCATTTCACAAATTCTGATGTTGTCATCTTGTGAAATAGAGAAGTTATATTTTCCTCATTTTACATAGGAGGATCTGAAGCAGGGGTGGGCAAAATGTTGGACCTAGCTGGTGGCTGGAATCCATTTCCCAGTAGCTCCTGCCCACGTCATTGCAGCTGGTTTCCATGGAAACCCCAGGAGCAACAGGGCCATAATAGCGGGGGGGAGGGGCAGGGTTTCCATGGAGACGAACCCCAGCAGTGCTGGCAGGGCACATGGCTGGGCAGGGAGCTGCTCCGGGGCCAGGGCTGGCATCCAGCAGGAGTGACAGCATGGTCCAGAGCAAGGGCAGAGCCATGATCTGCTGCCTGCACGTGCCTCCCTGGGCTCCAACCATGCTGTCACAACCACAACATCCAGGCCGGCCCCAGAGCAGCTCCCCGCCCTGCTGCATGCCCTGCTAGAGCTGCTGGGACCGGTCTCCATGGAAACCCTGGCCCCATGCTATCACAGCCCTGCTGCTCCTGAGGTCTCCATGGAAACTGGCTACAGTGACATGGGCAAGGGGTGCTTGCCAGACTTTGCCACCCCTGAAGAATTTTATCCTGGATCCCAAGAGTCCACATCTTGCCATGCCAGAGGTTTGCTATCTGGCATGATGGGACATGCAATTTTCAGGATCTGAGATGATTCCTGAGATCCCATCATATCCCCAGTCCTTTCAGGTCAATGTGCCCCCCCCCGTGCTGGCAATTCTGAGGCAAGTTTAAAGCTACACCATGCAGCCCAGCACTGGGCTGCATAGTGCAGCTTTCAGTGTCCATGTGCAAAGAGCTGCTGACCTCCCCCAGCACTGGCTAGCTTAAAGTTGTGCTAGCAACATAAGGCTGCGTAGCACAGCTTTAATGTGCCACAAATTCAAATTAAAGCACAATATAGACCATCTACAGGTGGTCCACATTAACTCCTCCCACTTCCCAGCTGGCATTTGCAGAGCCCTGTGGCAGGTAGCACCAGGCAAGACTGCACTGTACATGGCTTTCAACTTCCTGGTGCAGATGGAACCCAGAATTGCAATCCCAAGCTCTACATGTTCTGGCATGTTGAAAGGGAGTGACTGGATCTGCTACCCGGTCCCCGAAATTGCCCATCTTCTCATGCATGTGTGCTACATCCCAATGTTTGAAATGATGTGGTCTGATGCACAGAAATATATTGGGCAAAATTACTCCTGGACTCTATTGTACAGAAGGAAATTGCTATTACAAAACGTATTAATTGAAGCAATTTCGGTAATCCAGAAATACGTACTTCGGTTGCATGCCAAAAATAATTGAATTGCTTAAATTTAGAGACAGTAGTTTCAAATGATTCTATTTTAATGCCAGTCAAGCATAAAACTGCCACTACAATACACTCTGGATAGTGCAAGTGAGAACATTATTCTTTACAATAGTTACATCCTCACTGATGGGAGAATAGGATAGCTGAAACAATTTATATGACTAAAACAATAATAAAGAAAAATTTGACACTGCTTTGTTGAGCCATTAAACAAGATTGCTGTGTTAGATGTCAGTACAGTCAGAAGTGGAGAATCTGAGACAATGAAATGAAATCTGGTCACGGCTAGTTACTGCCCTGAACTGAATTATTTTTCCTTGGAAAACTGATTTCCAGAGCATACCAATTTTTTAGATAGGCCAGCTACTTACAATTTCTCAATTAGCTGCTTTTCATCCAGTGCACCTGGAAGATCTCTTTTATTTCCAAGCACTAACACCTAAGAGAAATAATGCATTTTCCAGACATATAAACTTTGTCATTTAAACATATAAACTTTGTCATTTACTTTTAAGAATCTACAATCAAAGGATTCACTCTCTTACCTTTTAATTATTTAAGACATGGTAAGCTACATTTGCAAAAATATCTTTTAATTTAGAGCATAAGACTGGAGACACCATAAAGTATCACACACTGCTGAAGTCCCACCTGCCACTTTAAAGTGTTTCAAGATAAGCACTCTAAAAAGGGAGCACCCCAAATAGCAGCCTGTGGTTCATTCTTCCTTCTCTCCTTATCCCACATAGAAGCCAAGCTCAAAGTAGACATTTGGAACTAGGTAAGAAATGAAAACACTAACAAACAGATACTTTTGAACATGCTGCAGAAAACAGGGATGACCAAGTTGTGTCATGGGCAACCCATGTGTATCAAGGCAAATCAGTGACGGAGCAGGCAGCACAGCAGCAGACAGAGCAGGCAGCAGAACGAGCAGCAACAGATGAAGCAGATCATAGACAGTAGGGAGCATAAAGCAGAGCAGCAGATTGGGTGAGAATAGAGGGTAGGGAGCAGATAACAGAGCAGAAGATCCAGCAGGGGAAAGAGGCTAGAGTGACACTCTGTGAGAATGTGGGGTTACTTGTACTACATCTACCAAAAATGATGGCCCCCACTAGCATAAAGAATGCCCAGTGTATGTTATAACTTAACATTAGATAAATGTATTCTATAGTTTTTACAAAATAGAGTCAGAGATGGAGAGTGTCTTTGAAATTATGGTTGCACTATTGCTTTTAATGTGCATCTCAGTTGTGAGTTAAAGTCAAGATTACTCTACAGCCACCATGGATCTTTAGCATATTAAAATTCATTAGCAATCTTTGTCAGCTTAATAAAGCTACCTTCAAATCTATAACACCAAGAATAAGTATAATAAATAAAGAGAAGATCAAAACTAGTTAGTTTCTACAAAATAATAGCTAAAAAAGAAAACCACATAACTGCAACTTGAAAATGACCACGATGATTTCAACTGGGTCAACTGAATTCAATACTAAAACACGCAAAATTAAGCTGACTTCAAGTATACACTAACAACTTAACTAATGAGAATGAAGGGAGGAGACAGAAAAGGCAAATAGGAGAGGCAAAACAGTATGTGAAAAACTAGCTTTTTGTCTGTGCACCTTGACCTGTCACCACTCTCCTAATTGGTGCCTATTGGCACAGTAATATGCTGTGAGCCTTTGAAGTTAAAGTCAGTTATCTCCTGAATTCTTATTGTGTCAGGAGGTGGAAGGATCAGAATACTCGGGTCTGACTCATATTACTTTCAGTAATGATTAGTCACCTGTCTATCCCTCCCAGCTGGCTCTTCTTTTGATAGCACTTTCATAAGTCACTGACCTTACTTAGCTGAAAGTATGTGCCTAAAGAAAACACCCAGGAGCTAGGCAATACTTGTAGGGGCCAGACAAAGTTGTGATGGGTCTGGCCATTGATTCTCCTTCCTGTAACAGTTGCTATGGGATAAGCCTGTGCCTTCATTTGCTGAGTACCAAGACTGGAGGATGATCTAAGGCTGAAAATAACCTATGCTAAAAGTGCTCATTACTTCTACTGAAACAACATTTCATTCCACCTCCCTAATGACTAAACGGTATTTCAGCAGCTCATGCTGTTCTTTACCAAACTCAAGTTCCTGTAAGAGAACAAATTTACTTTTGCATTTTTTTCAGGTTTTTATATTCCGATTTGGCAGAATGCATCCAAATCTCCTGTAAAATCTGTAGAAACAAAGGACTATTTGACATTCAAAGCCTGCCAGTTCCCCCAAAGATGCATCTTACCCATATTAAGATTTTGTCTCCAACATCTGGGTCACTAGGTCAAGGGTTCCCAACACTAGTTTTAACTCAAAGTTAGCACTGAAACTACAATTTCGGCAACTTTGGTTAAATTTTAGTAAATTTCATGTCAGAAGCACAATATGTAAAAAAAAATCTTACTAGCCATGGTTGATGCAGGCTTAAATCAGCTAAACAATAACCTGACTTGAGTGAACTTCCTTACTGGGCAGCACTGCTTCCTGGAAGTTGTAGCTGGAGGACTATTTCCCAATCCTTTCCGTTAGGCCAGCATCCCTGACAGAACTACATTTCCCACAATCCTAATCACCTGCCTCTCTCGCTGAGTGACAGGATCACCATGATAGTCACAGAGGTTCTTCAAATTCGCAGTTTCTTTGGCTTACCTTATAAGATTAGGCTCAGTTATCACCATCTGGTAATGCCTTACATAAAATTAATTTGGTTCAAATCTAACTCGACCCTTACACTGCAAAACATATAAACGTGATACAGATATTACAGGATAAGTTGCACACCCTTGTATAAAACTATCACAACAATTTTCATAACATAAGAATGTTGAGCACTGCAAGGCTGATATTTTCAAAAGAGCCTGAAGAAGTCAGACACTTAATTCTCACTGAAATTTACTGAGTTTAGGCTATACATAGGTCAACATTAACATGAGATCAATACAAAAATGCAGTCACTTACTGGGATTCCATGCAATTGTGGCTTGTCTATTAAGTTGTGCAGTTCATTTTTTGAAGCTTCCACTTTTTCTAAGTCTGCTGCATCCACCATGTAACTAAATGTGAAATCATTACTTATAATTTTCCTACTGCACACAGAAAGCTGTATTTTAAAAATATTTTAAATGTATCAGATATATTGCTCTTTCACTGATCATATTATTTTATAATATCCTTGGAGAGTAAAAATCATGTAATTAAGTAACCCACCCCGCCAAAAAAAAACACCCCAGCAGAAACAGACATCAGCTGGAAACCTTCTGGAAAATGTAACTGATCTCTTACAAGGGATGCTGGATGTGTAAAATATTCCATGTGTGCGCCAGATGTTATTACTGAATCACTTGCCAGATCTAAACAAATTAATAGAGAGTTTTTAATACTCTTCTCAGCTGGCAGAAGTGCAGTATTATTCTCTATTACCATAAAGCAGGGGTGGGCAAAATGTGGCCTGTGGGCTGGATGCCACCACGCCATTCTATCCGGCCCATGGGGCCCCTAAAAAAATTTAGAAAATCAATATTTATCTGCCCCTGGCTGCCTGTCATGCAGCCCTTGATGGCTTGCCAAAACTCAGTAAGTGGCCCTCCACCCAAAATAAGTGCCCACCCCTGCCAAAGTAATGCCCCCTACTAAACAGTAATAGTCAAATGGATATGTCATGACACAAATTTCTGTCATGACACTCTTGGAAAAATATGCATGTGATAGTGGGGTTCTCCAAGAATATTTGAAGAGTAAGGAATAACTTTGTAACAGTTAGGGGACTAAATGAATAATTAAGCAGGCTTTCTCCATCTAGAACTTGATTCAAATTCTACTTAAAGATCACAGATTTCAAAGAGCTCTGGATCAAAGCCCCAGTTTCTATAATTACGTACGATTCTAAAACTTTAATATCATTTTCAATGGACAATGACAGAAAAAAATCCTCACACCCCCCTAAATTTGACAACAGTGTATGAACAAGAATAACTACACTAAGCAATATGGTCTCAATTTTACCCAAATGACGTTCATGTTAGTGTCTAAAATCATACTTCTATGGAGTTCTACTTCCTAAACCAGAGAATTCCCTCCGTTTATCAGCTTCTGAAAAGGACTACTCCACATTTTAAGCTTCCCCTTTATATTAAACTTTCCACAATAAGCTTAACACCTCACCATGCCAGAATGCTATTGTATATATGGAGGAAGCAAATGATGGAGATAGTGTGGCCTGAAAGTGAAATGAATCAATATTAAAAGACTATATTTAATCATATCTTTAAGAAATACACAAGCAAGCTTACACAACTGCATTGACTCCTCTGCAATAGCGTTCCCACATGCTTCGAAACCTTGGTTGTCCTCCAATGTCCCAAACCTGGAAACCAGAAATATAAGCACCCTTCATTACTCTGTGTACCTGGATAATAAGGACACAGATGTCTCACTTAAATTTAAAATCTACTACCAGGACATAGTACCATAGTCATATTAAGAAGTTACAACATTCTTAATAGTAGGGTTTGTAGTAGGGTTAAGGATACCAACGGAGAGAACACATTAATTTTCCAGTGGTATAGAAAAAAAGAAAAAAATTAAAGGAAACAGAAAACAAGTTGAGTAGGAAGGAGTGTAAACCAGAATAAAGACAGCTTAATATGATTATCTCTAGTATCTCAATAGCCTTCAGATTTGCTCACTGGAGAACCTTTTAACAACATGAAGGTCTAGAACATCAACCCCAGAAAGAAAATGGGTTGACTGCAAAATTTAAGTAGCAATCTCAGTGATAAGATCTGAACTTAAAAGCAAAAGGGAAAAAAAAGTTGAATATGCATGTCTTCTACTTCATAAATTAATAGTTTGAAACAATCACTTTGCCTTGCTAACTCATATTCACAAACTTAAATTTAATCACTCATTTAATCAAAACTGCTACTTAACAACATGTTTACAGGCCTGAGATATTAGATAAACGTCCAAAATATCCCCTTAGATTATGTTTAGACTATTTTGGATCAATAGTAAGGGTCATCCTTAAGTAGCCCAAGACGCACAATCTGCCCTTCCATGTTTGTATTACTTTGCTGCAGCTGCTTGCCAAACACAGAAGACAAGAAGTGGGCAGACTGATTCTTAGAAGGACTCTGCTTAAGGGTACTGCCCTTCTAGGAATCATTCAACCTACCACTTGTTCCTCCTCCTGTGTTTGGCTTTGATTGCTGGCAGTAAAAACAGCTTACTGTACAGACAGAAGCCAGGTGCTGGTAGGTTGCCTGTTTGTGATGTTCAGATGAGTTCTGAACACAAAGCAAAGAGGTGTTGGCTATGGGGGAGCTAAACTTGGACCATGATGCGCATGGCTGCATCCACATGCGTGAATGTTTGGTTTCTTGGGGCAACTATCAGTGGTGCACTTTGTGCCGCCGCTAGTTGTTCCCAGGGAACACTTGTGCCACATGCCCTCTGGCATGCAGCAGGTTACCCCGGGTGGGGTAGGAGAGACTGAGGCCAGCACTGTGCTGGCCCCAGCAGCCTTACCTGGGGGTCTTCAAGGGCTGCAGCAGCAGCAATCCTACCATGTGGAGCCTGGCCAGCAGCTGGAAAGTGGCTCCAGCGAGCCAGGCTCCAATTCTGATCAGTGTGCGTTGCCCCCAGGTGCATTGCTCTGCTGGGTTTTTTTGCCTGGGGATTCCCCCCACCCCTTCTGCTCCTTTGCAGCGCAGAGAGCATCTGAATGTGTGGTATGTAGTGCCACAGATGTGTCTGCAGTGCTATGTGCTGCATGGCCACACTTGTCTGGACATGGTCCATGACAGCTTCCAGATGCAGACTGGATTGCTTCCAGGGGGCAACCAAGAGGTTTTTAATACAGATAGCTCCAGGTTTTGACTAGAAAGCATGTCTGGGGTGACTAAATTACAGAGTAGACACACTTTGTTAAGCTAGGCACTTCCAATTAAGTCTCCATGTTTCTTAAAACTTAGCTGCTTGGCCCCAAGAGGGAGATTCAGAGAAACAGAGATAGGCACCTTGGCTCCCTATACAGTGAATGTGGAGAGACAGGTGCCTCCAAAGCTAAGTCAGGAAGACTGAATTCAGTAAGAGGTGTGTCTAAACAAAGATAGGAGCAACTCTGTCAGTGTGGGGTCCAAAGGGTCCTCTTCTTAGGGTAGGTGCCTACAGAAGCAGGACGTAAGTGATGTGATGTGATGCTGACTACCTTTTAATAGTTACTATTTTAAAAGTCTAGTAGTTACAGCACTCACCCAAACCTTGAGAGACCTGGTTCACAGGTCTTCAGCCTGCAGGACTTGCATCTCCCATTTCCTAGGAAAGTACTCTAAATCACCAAGCAAGATACTAGGCTAGCTGAGGACATTTTACACACAACCCCCATTAAAACTGGACTAACAAGCAGCTCAAAGTACAAGAGTCTTGAAGGTAAAGGAGGACAAACAAGAAACAGCCTGAATCTGTAACCTACTGGAGGGCCGTAAAGTACTAGAACAGGTTACCCAGACAGGTGGTGGAGTTTCCATCCTTGGAGGTTTTTAAGACCTGGCTAGACAAAGCTTTGGCTGGGATAAAATAGCTGGGGATGGTCCTGCTTTGAGCAGAGCGTTGGACTAAACGACCTCCTGTGGTCCCTTTTCTATGATTCTATAAGCACTCAGCCAGGACAAAGAAGTACTCTGTTTGCCCTCTCACCCCGAACAGCTTATGCATTTACATTAAAGAACCATTAGACAAAAATAAACCTGAATGGTAAATGTTCCTCAGTGGTGTGGTATGATATAAAATAGAGCTAGTGGCGCCATCAAGAGCACTTGTGAGTTAGTCAGCATGGCTGCTGTTAAACAATGTTGATGGCATGTATTAAACACAGTGCTCTCTCTTAGCTGAACTGCAGTGGAACTTAGGCAAGAAGTATTCAAACTAGAGTACTTCTCTGCATGAAGAGAAGCCTAAGCACACAGGGATTTTGAGATCTAAAATGTGGATACTAAACTAATGTAAACATGTAAGAGTTATTTTGGATCACTTAATGCACCTTAAGTGCCTAAATTCTATCTAGGTCCCATTTAGATGCCTATGGGACCAATCTATAGCAGGCTTTTAGTTTTCTGAATTCCAGTAATTTATTCTAGTTTGGTTAATGTACTGGCAAGTTATATCCATGTGGAATTTAGCCCTAATGTTTATTAAGTCATTTTGAGCCAAAACTGCGCTGAGAATGAAGTATCACTATAAAGATTTAAATAATGTGGTCACATATGAGGAGCTCAGAGACGCAAGAAAACAAACATTACATTTCAAGTCAAATACCTATTAAAATAATGATAATTACTGAAAAATCAACCAAAGAAATGCATTTGTTCTCTAGTAGTTATTTCTTATTTTAAGCAGAATGTGGTATCAATGTAAGAAGAGCTATATCAAAAGTAGCAAATGTATTCATTGTAGCTCAAAATGCATTTGGAAATAACATATGATATCAAAAGATTATGCCCTTTCTTAAAAGATGTTTCATATTTATTTTTTTCCCCAAATCCATTCATATTTAAGGTGCCACAGTGATAAGTATACACATAAAGGGGTACAACTTAATACATCCTTCGGATTAAGTCTTTTCCAACTAACAGAGACTGCTTTTTATACCATCGTCCATAGATCATGTTCATGTATTAATTTCTCATTTTCAACACATTGATTTCATATTTGAGAAAGGCAGATTTCCCAATTCACCATTAAAATCATTCCCCAATTGTCATCTTACTGCTCTCTCTCGCATAACATAGTCCCCCCTGTAAGACGGAAAATTTTACACATTAAATACAGTAATATATACCAATTATTATTCCCTCTGACATTTGAGGGAAATGCTTCAGAAAATCTTAAGAAAATAAACCATTTATTTATAAAGCATGGCAAGGGATGGGTACACAGTTCAATATTATTTAGATAACAAACTTCACGCCAAAGCTAATGATCACAATAAGTCATGACGACCTTGAAAATATCCCTTACCATCTGGTACGCATCTGTTTGGGGGTGGGGGGAAGCTATTTTCCCAACAGGATTAGAATAAAAGGAAGGAAGAGAGGGAAACCAGTGCTAAAAGTAGATGTTATAAAACTAGGTATGGCAGTTAGTTTTTTGAAAACTGGAACAGGCTACAGGATGGTTATCTAATGCTATAGGGTGTGCCTTTCCAATGATACAGTAGGTTTAAGCTATGGGATATTTCTTCAGCTAAACCCTAGATGAGTATTATGTTAATTAGCAGAAAGAGTCATTCTGAAATGGTGACAAGATAGGTCATATCCAAGTGAGGATGACTGTTTTCTCAATAAACCTGACAACTAACCATTAAGAAAAGACATATGAGATGCAAGATAGAACAAACATATTTGAAAGGATCTGGAAACCACTTAATCTATAGTCTGAGGCACCAAAGTCATCTGCACAAGGGAAAGAAAACGGGTTAAACTGATAAACTAGAAAAAAATGAATACTGTCTGAACTGCTTTCTGTATCTCTCTTTGTCAAATTAAAGTAATACGTAAAAAGTATTCATACTTATAGCATTTTTCCTATGCTTTTATAAAACCTACCATTGAGCTAGGTCTTTTATGAGGTCTCTTCCAAACAGCCTACAATCAAAACAATGGAACTGCTAGGTAAATAAATATATAATATAATATACCCCTGGGGGGGGGAACAACATGGGATTTGGAATAATAGTCTAGTCTGTAGCTTACATACTTGGTACATCATTTATTTTTGTGCACAGTATTTACCGTATAGGGAAAATATATATAGGATATGTATTAGTAGAGGAGGGAAGTTATGACTCAATAGCAGGTGATACAGCTAGGTATGAAAAGTTTAAATCAATGTCTAGGAGATCTTTAAAAAAAGCTTAGATTTTAAATTACTACTGCACACTCCATAGGCCCCTCATGATTTGAATGTTCACAACACTTTGAAGGCAATTGTATCCTGAGTTGACCAGCTCAACTGAAAATATAGGCAATGCCCTGAAGGATGCCCAAAATGAACCAGGGAAGAAGCTTCTTTCACACTACATTTCTAGGTGGGGAGAGGCTAAAGAGATTTAAAATCACATTAAGGAGTTGCTATAATTTTGAATGTATTCTTGTGTGTTTAATTCTTAGCATGTATGTACTCTTTTATATTCTTAATGGCAGTATAGTACGTTACACCAATATCTCAATTAGTAAGATAGGATAATCCATATATTTTAGAGTCACTTTCCTGTTGGTGTTCTTATTCTTGTTTGTTACTTCTAATTTTTCAAAAATATATGCCTTTTGTTCAATATCTAGATTTTATATGGATATAAAATTTTTC